AGCCTTCTGGACTTCTCCTGAGCATGAATTTCCATGGGAAAGAGACAGAGCATTTTGCTTGCATGTCTCAGGTTTGCACTGTGGTTTGTTCATCTGACTTCCCTGACCTGAAGGGATCTCCCACTTTCATTCTGCCTTACTCTGTATCCTGTGGAGCTCTGTGAGTAGATAGCTGCCAATAGCAGGTGACAGGGTGCTCTGCGCTGTGGTGGTTGAACTCTGCTAGCTAGCTGTTCCCTAGAATCAGAATGCCTGCATCGCACGGGGAAAATGCCATCTGTTCTTACTAGTCAATGGTGGTGTAATAGTTCAATTTCTTCATTGTGATAAAACACCATGACCAAGGCGACATACGGAAGGAAGGGTTTGTTGGGGGCTTATGGTTCCAGGGGACTAAGATCGCATTACCATCATGGCAGGGAACTATGGCGGCAGGCAGGCATGGGGGCTGTGGCTGGAACCTGGGAGCTGAGGGCTCACGTCTCAAACCATCACCAGGAAGCAAGAGAGAGAGAGAACTTCAAATGGTGTATGGTCTTTGAAACCTCAGAGCCCACTCCTGATGGTGCCTTTCCTCCAGCAAGGCCATTCCTCTAAACCTATCCAAATAGGGCCACCAATGGGGGCCAAGTATTCAAATGCCAGAGTCACTGGAGGGCATTTCTCACTCAAACCACCATTCAGGGCATGAACATTTTAAGAATGAATTTTACTTTTAATCGACAAACCATTGAATTTATTATCATGGCCATGTGTAAGTGTAACATTAAGTACATTTCCCTTTTGTGTAACCAGCATCCAGGAAGACCTCATCTTCTAGAACTGACACTGTATATCCATTTCCTGTTTAGATCATTTTCTCTGTTTTCCCCTCCCCCCAACCCTCAGAGCATCAGAGCATGAGGCTGTTTTATGTTTTTTGTTTTTCTTTCATCTCATGTCATATTTTTGTACATTCATCCCAAGGGAAGCAAGCAAGTCTTGGGGCACAGTATGCACATAGTAGTGTCGAGGAGCCAGTGGGTGATTCTAACTCAGGCACTTGCCCTGTCTTCTGCTTGGGGCTCATATCGAAGCCTATGGGTTCAGCATTCTCTGCTGATGTGGCAGACCAGAGCACCACTGAGAAGTGCATTGTCACATTACTATTTTACTTAAGCATTTAAAAAAAATTGAGACATGGTAACATGCTCTAGCCCAGTCTGGCCTGGAACTTGTTGTGAAGACCAGGCATATCTCCAACTTGTAACTCCTCTGCCTCTGTCTCCTAAATACTGGGATTACAGGCATGAACCCCACTATCTTAGAGTTACTATTGCTATGATGAAATACCATGACTAAAAGAAGTCGGGGGAGGAAAGGGTTTACCCAACATACACTTCCATATTGCTATTCATCACCGAAGGAAGTCAGGACAGGAACTCAAACAGGGCAGGAACCTGGAGGCAGGAGTTGATTCAGAGGTCATGGAGGGTGCTGCTTACTGGCTTTCTCCTCACGGCTTGCTCAGTCTGCTTTCTTATAGAACCCAGGACTACCAATCCAGGGATGGCACCACCCACAATGGGCTGGGCCCTCCCCCATCAATCACCAATTGAGAAAATGCCTTACAGCTGGATCTCATGGAGGCATCTTCTCCCCTGAAGTCCCCTTCTCTCAGATAATTCTAGCTGTGCCAAGTTGACATAAGACTAGCCAGTACACTCACCATATCTGACTTCAAATTCTTTATATTGTAACTTTTTTACATTTTATTTTATTGTGTGCACGACACACATATATCCACACTACAGTACAAATGTAGAAATCAAAGGACAAGTTGCAGGTGTCCATTCTCACATTCCACTGTCTGGGTCCCAGGGTTCAAACTCAGGTCATGAGCTGAGCCACCTTGTCAGCCTGCATGTTATTTCTTTAAACCCATGATATTCCTGAATGTCTTGGCTTGGCTGACATAGTATTACAAGTATTGTGCACTTAATTATTTTATATTTAGATGTTGAGACAGAACCCAGGACCCCCTGTGTATTACGTCTTTGCTGTCTCATTGAGCTACACCTGAACTCCAAACACACTACTTAAACAGCCCCTTGTGACAAAGCCCTGTGCAACTGATTATTTTTCTTTTATAACAAGCTTTCTTTCTTTGGAATTTTCATGTTTGGAACTGCTGTATACCACTTGAGGCCCAATCCTCATGCTGGGTATTTCAGAAAAATATTGTATTAGAGCCATTGGGAGGTTCTGGAAATATCCAAAGAAGGAAAAATTGTATGATCTCCTCTTTCCCTAGGGTCAGGAATAGATAATGAAGAACCGACTTCAGAGTTGGCTTAGGGATGGATGGTCCAGCATAAAAAAGGACAGCTGTTGTACTTGAGGATAAGACACTTTGGAATGGGGACTAAGAACAGAGCTGGAGGGTACCTCCCCCTCTTCTTTCTCTTGTGGGAGAGAATATTAAGTTACACAAAGATAGATTCTTATTTAACCATAATAGCAGCTTTCAGTGCATAAGGTCAAAGCTGTGACACAGCTAATTCTGTCACAGTTACCTACAGCCTGTGCTTGCCTAGTTTACAGGTCCACTGTCCTCTGGATAGGCAGCTGCACTTGGCCTGAACAGACCCCTGGCTTTGCCGCTTGAGGAGGCCATCACTGTCGGCTACTGCTGAGTTGAGAGGAGACCAGCAGCATGAGGGAGAGAAAGTTTTAATGCTGTTGGTATGAAATCCCCCTTCTGGGTTATCTATGAGCTCAATCCAAGAGGAGTATTAAGGAAGTCCTCACCCCTGTTCCCTCCATATCCTACATTTATGACCACCCTTATACTGCCCATCAAAGCTCTCAGGGCCCAGCCTTTGCTGGGTCCTCACCTGCAGTGCAGTGCGCCTTCACTCATGTGAACCCCGCTTCCTCTGCCTTACAGCTTTTCCTTTCATTCTTCCTCTCAGAAGACCTCCTAGGACTGCTCGATGTTGAAACCCTTAATAGTCGGTCCTCCTGGCTAGAGGCATATTTGTACCTAAGTCAGTCTGTGCCACCATGACAAAATACCTAAAACAAGAACTTTATAGACAAAAGTTCTATTGAGCTCACAGATTGGGAGGCTCAGGTCGGATTCCCACACACCCACTACTTTGGAGTCTGGCAAAGGCACGGGATGACGGTGGTGTGGCAAATGTTGATGCTAAAAGACAGAGAACAAGCTTGGGGACTCACAACCCTTCTCCAGCACCTAAAGGCTTCTCACTAGGAGACAAACCTTTATGTGTGTGTATTTGGGGGACACCAAATGGCCACAGAGGGAGGACTTGAGAGGAGCGTGCACCTTTCTGTCACTATGATGTGCTTTGATGGTAGGCCTTTGGTTAGAATGAGGACTTAGAGGAACACAGCTAGAGATGGACATTTTGACTAGATGAGCCTGGCTTTGAGTCAGGGCATTGCTAATAGGCTCCGAATCTTTAATGGATGCCTTCACCTACAAGAGCCCGTTTAATCAGTGGGAAAGATACAGATGCCAACTTTTATGAATGGTAGACAGGGTTAAAGATGGCACAGGCTGTGAAGTTGCAAGTGTCTGTCTCCCCTTTGCCTTTGGTCCTTCTGAATGAAAATCTGAGGTTGAAGTTTTGACTTTTCTGCCAGAATTACCTAACACCCATTTCTTTGTTTAAAAATCACCCATGCTGTACGTTTTCAAAGTTTTATTTTCACTTGTGAGCATGTATGTGTATGTCATGTATGTGTGAATGCTTGCAGAGGCCAGAAGAATGCTTCATTCAGATTGGAACTGGAGTTACATACAGTTGTGTGCTATCTGACATGTGTGCTGGGAACCGAATTTAGGTCATCTGGAAGACCAGCAAGTGGATCACTGCTCAGTCGTCTCCCCAGCACCTGTGCTGTATATTCCCTTTGGATGCTATATGCCCGTGTGTGTGATTCTAGAACTTTCTATTATATACAATGGGGGTGATATGAACTCTCTTTTAATTGTGTGTGTGTGTGTGTGTGTGTGTGTGTGTGTATGCATCATGTTTGTGTGAATACAGGCATGTTTGTGCCAAAATCATGTGTGGAGATCAGAAGACAACTTCCATTTGCTTCTTCCCTTCTACCTTGTTGAAGCAGGGTCTGTCTTCTTGTTTCTGCGTCACTGAACCCTGCAGGCTAGCTGGCCTCAGTGCTACTTTTGTCTGTACCTGCCATCTCCTTGCTGGAGAGCAGGGATTTCAGTTGTTCGATGCTGCATCTGGGTTTTTTTTTGGGGGGGGGGTAGTGGGGGTTAATGTGAGTTCTGGTGCTTGAATGTGGGTTGTCAGGCTTGTGCAGTGAACACCTTCACCTGCTCAGCTCTATCTGGCCCTGGGTTCACCTTTACTGAGGATTTTTGGTCTCAAAAAACCTTATTTGTTTTTGTTTATGTTTTTTGTGATAGGGTTCCTCTGTGTAGCCCTGGCTGCCCTGGAACTTGTTCTATAGATCAGGCTGCCTTCAAACATAAAGATCACCTGCTTATACCTCCCAAGTGCTGGGATTAAAGGCATGTGCCACCACCTCTAGGCTAGAACACCTTTATAGAATCTAAAAAATGTTCTCATATATATTTTTCATTAAATCAGACTTTATTGATACTGAAATTTGAGTTACATGTAATTACTATTTTTAGTTTTTCTCATACTAGAAGAATACAAACTGCATCTCAGTTTTTAAAATTAAGACTGTATTTTGGAACAGTTTTAAAGGTATAGAAAAATTGAGCAGGTAGTATAGAGTTCACATGCACAACTTTCCATATTTTTAGCATCTTGTGTTTATACAGTATATTAACAAGCTATAGATCAATATTGACTAATACCTAATCTAACATCCATAGTTTATGCAGATTTCTTTAGTCTTTATTTAGTATCTTGTTTTCCTGTTACAAGCCACCATCCAGAACACTGCTGTATGTGAAGAATGATATTTATATCTTTATTTTTCTCTGTTAATAGGTGTACAACATGTTTCAGCACCAGAGCCTTGGGATTAAAGTTAACATTCAAGTTACCAAGCTGGTCCTGCTGCGACAACGCCCGGTGAGTCTCTGTAGGTGCCTTCAGTGCACCCTGAGAACTTAATGAGTTTGGAAGTTTCCCCTGACTGTGACTGCTAGGGAGAGCTTCAGGCAAACTGGCTTGTTCACCTTCCTGGCTTTGAAGATGGCACCATTGTGAGAGAGGAGAGTCTTTGGGAGTTATGCAGGAGGCTTAGAATCTCAAGGGAATGCTGAGCCAGAGGCTCACACACTTCCCCTGTTCCTGGAAAGTCTGGCATGTGGCTTTCACACAGATGGAAAGCTGCAGGAGGTCTCAGAAATGTCTTTGTTCCTGGAGCTCCTGCCCTGTTGGGAATGAGCATATCCTTGTTTTTGCTGTTTCAACTGAGTGCCTCCCTTCAAGCCAGTGCTACCTACAAGAAGATGAAGGAAGCAGGGAGTGTACTGGATGTTGTAGCCTGTTATGTTTCTGAGAAGTAGGTTGCTTTGCTTTAATGACAGTCATCATTGAACTCATGGATAAATGGTCTTGAGACCTCCTGAGCATCCTTTGGTTCTAGGCTTTTATCTCAGGGCAGAGAGTCATCGAATTTTGTCTTCAGGAGCATATACCATCCACAATAAAGTCTGGGTGGCAACTTTGGCTTCCTAGATGACACTTTCTCTGACTACCCTTCTATTTCTTTTAGGCCAAGTTATCCATCGGGCACCATGGTGAACGGTCCCTGGAGAGCTTCTGTCACTGGCAGAATGAGGAGTATGGGGGTGCACAGTACCTTGGCAATAACCAAGTACCAGGAGGGAAGGATGATTCGCCTTCTGTGGATGCTGCTGTGTTTGTGACCAGGTAAGCCTGGAGCCAGCTTGGATCTGGTGAGCAAGAGAGGTGCTGGCATGGTTTGTGGATGCTGCCGACTAACTTGGGCAACTTGGTAGGGAGAAGAGTGGATGCTGTGAGTTGTCTATGGAAGAATTCTAGGTGGGTCCATGGGCAACCTACACAGCGTTGCACGACATGCTGTCCACAGGACAGTGGGATCCTCTCAGAAAACTCAATCTTCTGGATGCCCATGGAATTCAGGCAAAAACTGTTTGAATCATGGGTAAAGGTTCATTCCTGACTGCAGAACTGGGGTTATCCTTCCAGAACAAGGGCCCAGAACTACATAGCAGAGACCCAGGGTGGCTTCTGAAATCACAAGCCAACTGCATTGCGATGGTACCATACCTGCTGACCAAAAGCAGGTGACCCTAAATGATGAAATTTATCCCCTACATATTCAAAAATTGAGATATGGATAAGTCTTCACTCTCCCCAGGTCCTTACGGGGAGGACCATTCCTTATTTTCTGAGTTCTGGTGGCTATTGCCACCCTCAACAAGCTTTGGCTTGTGGACACCTCATTTGAGTTTCCCTTCCACAATAGCCTTCTCTCCATGCTTCTTTCCATGTCTAGATTGTCCCGTGTCCAGATTGTCCTCTTAAGAGGACCCCACTCTTTGGAGTAGGACCTATCTTAACCTTTTGTGAACACTTATTTCAGTTGTTTTATTTTTCAAGACACTGAAACTAGCTCTGTAAACTAGGTTGCTCTAACAGGTCAGAAAACTGCCTGTCTCTGAGTGCTGAGATTAAAGGTGTAGACCACCGCCAGCCAGCTTGTGACCGCTGCTTAACTGGACTATGCCTGCAATGTCCCCATCAAAAATAAAGTCACATTAATAGGCATTTAACCATCTCTGTTCTAAGGACACAATTCTAGCATGCACGTGCAGACATACATAAACACACATGTATGTACATGCTTACACACACACACACACACACACACACACACACACACACGGAAAAAGGGGTGGGGGAGGGGAGCTTGTAATTCCAGTACAGGTGAGGCAGAGACCAGAGAGGTGGCTGCCTGGGGTTCAATGATTTTGAGAGTGGATGATACTTGGTAAGTGAGCAGGAGTCTAGTGGAGCTATGTTTATGCACAACCATAAATTATTATGATTAGCTTCCTGCATGAAATTAATTAGGCATAATTAAATTAGCTCTAAAATCCTTCCTAAAGAAGAGCTTGTTTTAAACAACTCCAGAATTGGAATTTTCAGCTAAACTTCAAGTGTCCCTACTTTGAAAGTGGTTTTTTATAAACAATATAAAACTTAAGAATTCTGTGGTTTATTAAAGATTTTATTAACTTAGGGGGATTCCCTCCTGACACCATATTTAAAAATGCTTTTCACATTCCTGCTATTTGCTTTCATGAGAAGTTAATGAACATGTCAGTAAGAGATGAGAATATTGCAAATGGACTCATCAGTTTCAAATATACAATGCATCATTTGCCTAGAAGCTATAGGGAGACCTCCAGAAGGGAGAGAGAAAGTGCTTGGAAGGGGCCTTGTTTTGGAAATGAAAAGCACTTTTTCCCCCCCAGAGAAAATAAATGTCATCAAAATCAGAGTTGGCAAAACTTCTGGGTTAGGTCATTTATAAAAACCACAAATAGCCAAGTGTCTAGTTAGGATGTCTGTTGCTGCAACAAAACACCAGGACCAAAAAGCTAGTTGGGGAGGAAAGGGTTTATTTGGCTTCATCACTGAAGGAAGTCAGGACAGGAACTCAAACGGGGAAGGATCCTGGAGGCGGAGCTGATGCAGAGGCCTTGGAGGGGTGCTGCTTACTGGCTAGCTTCTCAAGGCTTTGCTCAGTCTGCTTTCTTTTAGAAGCCAGGACCATCAGCAGAGGGATAGCACCACCCACCATGGGCTGGGCACTCCCTCATCAATGACTAAATGAGAAAATGTCTTACAGCTGGATCTGATGGAGACATTTCCTCAGCTGAAGCTCCTTCCTCTCTGATGACTCTAGCTTGTGTCAAGTTGACACAAAACCAGCCAGTACAAGTAAGGTAGCACATGTCTGTTATTCCAGCACTTACTTGTGTGATAGAGACTGTAGGATCAGGTGGGGTCTTGGTGGCTTGCTTCTGTAGTACAATTGGTAAGGTTCAGTTTCCCTGTCTCAAAAGACTGAAGTAGAGAGAAATTAAGGAACACCCACATATCATCTTCTGCCCCGCTATGCAAATGGCTGAGTGAGCCAGTGTGTGTGTGCGCGCGCACACACACACACACACACCATAACACACACCTGCCTAGGGGCACATTTTCTCTATTTCAGGATGATACCCCAGGGTTGTTTAAGCTCTTGTACTTGATTCTGTAGAGCAGCTCAGTGGATGAATCACTGCTCAGCCATATCCCTAGAGGATGTCCTTACAAATGTTGACTCAGCAGCATCACTGGGGTGGGTGGAAAAGGAGCCTGCTGAGAAGCCTGGTGGATAACTTGAAGCCAGGGCTGCAGTTCCTGTGCTTGAGATGATAGCCAGTGTTCTGCAAGGAAATGGAATACAAGGCAGTGGCTACTCTTGAAAGCTATCCTTTCTGTCTAATAGGAAATCTCAGAGGCCAGGCATTGTTGAAGGGACAGCACCCCTATATTCTGGCCTCGAATCTGGCCAGTGTGAGGATTTCCTTTTCTCTCTCTGTTTTGGGCTGTGGCTAAGCCTGGGAGCTGTTCTCCTGAACACCAGCTGCTACAGAGAGGATGTGAACATGACATTATGGCTAGCAGAGGCAGTCAGCTTTTCTGCAGCTGTGTGTGTCCAGGCTGTAGACAGCCACCATGTGCACTGTGGCTGGAGGCCAACGAAGGCAACACAGAAGACAGGGATCCAGCCCGAGTGGCTTTACCTATCTCTGGTTCTGCACTTAACCTGGGAAGACAGGCACATAGCGTTTCTCCCCCAGCCCAGCCCGGTGCTTCTATAGAGAATGCCAGGGAGACACCCAAACGAGCAAGCATGCAGGCCTGGCTGAGGGTCTTGCTGGGATATCTATGCAAGTCCCAATCCTCAGCACCCCACAGTCAGTTTTCTCTCTGCCCATTCTGCTTACTGTTCAGCAATCAGGGAAGCTCTGCAATGTGAGGACAGGAGGCTTGCTCTGACAACTTAGGATGTGAGGCCCACTTGATTTCCACAAAAATGGATTGGCTTGGGGGTAAAATCATGATAATAAGGAGATTAAAATTTTTTTCCACAAGAGTTGGTTTTCCTAAAAGCTTTTATTTTTCTCTCTGAGTTCTAGGTATTTATTGTACAATTCGCAGTGAAGATCGCTGTGAAAGTGGGTTTTAAGTATTCTCACCAACAAGCAAACCCTCCAAAAAAACCCCAAACCCTTAAACTAGTATCAAATGTGATGGACATTTTTATTAGCTAGATTTGGTCATTTCACAATGTATACTTGCAGCCTTGACAGCTCAAAATATATTTATTTCTTATGAAAAACTTAGACGTGTCCAGAGGCAAAGCCCATTGAGTGGCAGATACACTGGCTTTGATGCCTTCCCACTTTGTCTGTCATCACACCTTCTAGCTTTTACTCCAATCCATGCCACCTGCCCTGTCATTTCCCCTGCAGGATGCCCAGTGTGCTCTGAGAGATGACTCTGTCCCAAGATGCTCAGTCGTCAGCCCATACCTGGGAATCTGTGCATCGAGATGTCAAACAGAACCTTTAACCTCCAGAAGCCCAGCCTGTGGGCCAGTTGCATCTTCAGGATCCATGTCTAGCGGCAGTAGGCTGAGGGATGTACACTTGTGGGATTTGCTCCTTAACACACACCCACTGGGGATTGAGTTGAATAATGCACACACAGATGGTGATGGATGGAATGGAAGGAGAAGGACAAGCCATGATATTGTTCCCAGTGTAACTGGTGCACCAAATTTGCTGTGAGTGGACATGACTAAGGCAAAAGAAGTAATGGAGGATAGTGAATGCCACAGTGGAAATGTAGTGTCAGCCAGGGGAGGCCACCTGGGACCAGGGCTGCCAGCTGCCGTCATACCTGTGCTTGTATCGGGCCAGTTTTAGGATTTACTTATTTATATATTTTAAGGTAAATGAATCATGGCTGCTTTGGAGGTGCCACTCTCCTCCTTTAGCGCCTTCTCCTAGCCAGGATACTGGCCCCACCAGTGCTCATGGTTGTCTACTAAATGGGGGAGTTTTTGGAGGGATGTTTAGGGATGTTTGTTGAAGGAAAAGCAAGGCACAGCCCTTCATTTCATCAAGAGAGGGAAATGCAGAACCAGGGCTAAGCAGGCCTTGTACCTTTGCTTTCACACTCATCCTCAACTGCACACCATTTTTAGAAATGGCTTTCTGTTGCCTTTCTGTGGATGTAAGTAATGATGCTTACAGCTTTCCAAGTCAAGTGGCTTGAAATACCAGTGCAGTTGATGGGGAATTAATTGTCTCTGATCAGAAATACCTTTTAATGTTTTTCAACTCTTGAGAGAATAGTGTTGAGAAGTCCAGCTGTAAAAGGGGCGTCCTGGGCTGGTGAGGTGGCTCAGTGGGTAAAGGTACTTATCACCAAGCCTGGCGACCTGTGTTCCGTCTTCACAAGCCACCTGGTAGAAGAAGAGAACAGACTCCCTCATACATTTTCTTAGGGTTTTATTGCTGTAAAGAGACACCATGACCACAGCAGCTCTTATAAAAGAAAACAGTTCATTGGTGGCTGGCTTACAGTTTCAGAGGTTTGGTTCATTTTGTCATGGCCAGAAGCATGGTAGCATGCAGGCAGACACTGTGCTGGAGAGGTAGCTGAGAGTTATACATCTGGGTCAGTGGGCAGCAGAAAGAGAGAGAGAGAGAGAGAGAGAGAGAGAGAGAGAGAGAGAGAGAGAGAGAGAGAGAGAGAGAGACTGGGCCTGGCTTGAGCTTCTAAAACCTTAAAGCCTACCCCCAGTGACCTCTTCCAACAAGGCCATACCTACTCCAACAAGGCCACACCTCCTAACAGTGCCACTCCGTATGAGCCCCTGGGACCATTTTCATTCAAACTACCACAAACCTTTACATGTGTCCAATGGCACATGCATGCGCACATCACAAATAAATGCCAAAAAAAAAAAAATCTAAAATGGGCTCTTTTAACTGTCATCATTAATTGTCCAAACTAGAGTGACAACATCTCGGTAGCACTAGCCATTATTAGTATATTTTCCTCTCCTATTTCTACAGGGCACCACATACATCTGACTGTATCTTTCCCCCTCCCCCCAGGACAGATTTCTGCGTTCACAAAGATGAACCGTGTGACACTGTCGGTAAGTTTACAGTTCTCACGATGATTCAAGGAGATGATGTATCGTGGGACTTCTAGTCTGAAGGAGTTACCCCCATGTTGACAATCGAGCTTCATATTTTCTGTTGCCTCTCTTTGTGTAAACTGATTTCTTGACTGTATTCTATAGATTTTCTTTTCAGGTAAGTTTTGAGGTTGCCTATGACAGAAGGCATCTGGATAGAGGGTTAAGAATGTTATAACAAGGCAGACCAAATGCAAGAGCTGCCAGGCTGCTCCAAGCAAGAACAATTGCCTCTAAGTGTCTTAACCACATGGGTTGGTTTGCTTTCTGGTCTAGACAGTACTGAGATATGCATACAATGCTGGAGAAACCGGGTTTTTCTTCCCTTCTCTTCCTCACCTGCCTTCACATGCAGGTTTCCTTCCTTTCCTATTCTCAGTCAAACCTGAATTGCCCTTCGGTTCTTAAGGCTTCATGGAGAAGTTTTCTTTCTGCCTGGCAGTGATGGCACACTCCTTTAATCCCAGTACTTAGGAGGAAGAAACAGGAGGACCTCTTAGTTAGAGGTCAGCTTGGTCTAGAGGACAGAAAGGGTTACACAGAGAAACCCTGTCTCAAAACAAGCAAACAAACAAACAAAACAACCAACCAACCAACAAACAAACAAACCTCTCTTCAGGTGCAGGCAGAGTACTTGTCTAGTAAAGGAAGTGTCCAGATGGTCTCCATTTTCATCTGTCATTGCACGCAGGGAGGTCCCCAATATTGTATTACCCAAAGGAAAGTTATGAATCTCATATGCTCAGATGCTTCAAGTTACAGAAACATTGATGGGGAGTCACCATATCTAATATTGTAAAATCCAGATGTTAGCAACCTGTTACCATGGAGTCTCAGTTATGGGGTGACCTTAGCCTCTGCCATGGCTCTACATGATGGAACTGGGTGACTCAAGTTTCTTAACACATATTATGACTGGCTTGATTAAGTGATTTAATAAGGTCCTTTAAAATCTGGTATGATGCTAGCTAACCTTTATATTACACATTGCAGTTTATAATTATTATTTTTCTTTTTTACTTTATCAGTCTTCTAAACAGATCAGAGAACAGGAGTTCAAAACTCAGCCAATAGATGTCTGTGCTTTGCCCCTTATGATGGGTTCCATGATGGGATCTCTGGGTGAAGACAATGTTAGTCCTGTTTTGCGTGTGGGGTAGCTGAGCCAGGCATAAGCCTGGCTGGGGCTGTAGAAGATGTGAAACTACAGAGAAGTGTGTGGCTGGTGCAGTTGCTCCTTCCAGCATTCCCAGGTGGTCTTTGAGGGCCACTGTAGCTCTCCCTGGAGTGTGTCTCTCCATCACCCTGTGTTGTCTCCTTGCCTAGGCTCAAGAGGCATCGCTCCTCCTCTAGCCTTTTCCCTATACTCCCTGGTCCCCCAGAAGCCTCTGTGTTATGCTGTGCTGAGCCTGGGTCTCCAAACTGTCCTCCAGCAGCTGGCTGACAACTTGAGAGGTCCCTATGTACAGTGTGGAGGGGAAGGAATGAGTATGGATGAAAGAAGCCCCGTGTCTGAATAGTGTGCACTGGAGTATGTGCTTCTCTTCACATGGTGGATGACTACCATTTGTTTGTTTAACTGTGAGTATATGAAATGCCCTGACGATATGAATTGATTGCACACCACTGCCCTTGCAGAAGATTGAGTAGTTAATCCTAACCAAGTACCTTTCTCTTGTCTACTTAGCGCTTCCATTCCACTTTAAATACTTGGCTCATGACACCTTTCCATTCCCAAGTGCTGCAAGGTCTGTGTATCTCTGACCTTAAGAAAAGCTTGTGCTTCTCTATTGGCTACAGGTGTTTGGTTTCTGATGAGGGCTGTCCATGGCGGGCAGATAGCTGCCTTCACACCATTCTCTTGCTTCTGTGTGCCCCTGTCCTCTTTCTTCTTGTTGCGAGGGTCACCCTGATTAGGACCCACCTTTATGACCTTCATTTAACCTTACTTAATTCTATTTCTCAAAGCCCTGTGTCAGAATATAGTCATCCGAGGGGCAATACTTCATCCTGTGGTGCTAAGGATCATACTTTAGTCTATGGGGCTATTCATTTGACATTAGCCACTTATCACGAGGTGGTATCCGATATCCTTATATGGCCTCTCTGGCACGATATCTCACTTCCTAACGGAGCTCATCTTTTCATGGCAGGGACAGGATGCAATCATTGTTACTGTGGTGGCTGGCTACCTGAGAGACGAGCTGCTCTGCATCCTGCCTCCCAGCATGAACTCTTTCTAATGCCCTGGTGACATTTAACTTTTACAAAGGGAATTGGACACGGGAACTTGGCATTTTATTAGTAGTATTCATTTCAATGTGCCATAATTTTATGTGCTATAACTTGAACATGTTATCAAATCATTTGTAAAATCAAGTAATTTGATAAGCATTTTAAAACTGGGGATATGGCAGTCACAGACTAGCTTCAGACTCTTATTAACTTCTGTGTGTGTGTGTGTGTAAGAGAGAGAGAGATAGAGAGAGAGACAGAGACAGAGAACCATAAGTGGCCAGATAAGTAGAATGGCCATTAACTGGTTTATCTGGATGTAACTCTGCCTCAGGTGGAGGAATATCTGAGCATAGTCTTAAGGAATTGCCTCTGAGGGGGATAATTCCTTTTGAATGACCCAGTTTAGATGCCCTCCATTTCATCTTGTTCTGGCAGATAGATGCACCACAGTTTTGGACTCTTCCTCAAACCTGTCACATTAGCTTTGGATCTGTTCTGGGCAGAAGTAAAAGTTTGACATTTAATCATGTACTCATTGTCTCAGGGCAGGTCCTCCAGTCTCTGGCAAATTCCTCCACTTGCCAGTTTTATGGTACTTGTAATTAGGCTTTGGCCATCTTCTATGGGTGTGTGAGGGCGGTGGGCATGAAAACTTTCAGTTTAGGGAAAGAAATGTGAGTCTATCTAGCTATGGATTTTAGGCCTTAGAACTCAGCCTTTTTTATACTTATTAAAAAACGCAGCATCTACTTGCAAGAGTTAGTTATGGGCGTAGCATTCTATCCGTTTTAGGGCTTGTCTCACAATTACACCTTGGATTTCTTACTTGAAGGCCACACATCCAAGAGTTGGGCAACATCTACTGTCTTGACATAATTGTAAAATGTAGGCAACCAACTGGATGGTGGTGGGGCATCTGGGAGGAATTAGCAAAGAGGTGAATGTGGCCAAAATATAGTCTATAAAATTATCAAAGAACAGATTTTTTAAATGGGAGGGGGATTCTAGGAAAGCCAAAAAGGATATATTTTACTACAACAATTCATCTCTTAACATGGTTAGCTTTAAATGTTGCTATAGTATATTTAAAATGCTGATTAGCTTGTGCCTGGATGCTGAGGGAGTCTTCTAAAAGATCATTTGTAAGGGCTGCCATTATTCAGAACAAAGGAGAATGTGGGTGGCCCTGGGATCTTTCCCACCCTTGCCTCCTCAGGTGGCTGTTGTCAGCATGGCCTAGGATAATGATGGTTGAGTGAATGTATTCATATAGGCGCAAGCACACATATGTACGCACCAGGTACAAGTGCGCAGGTTGGAGGGTGCAGTGTGTGTGTGTCTAGTGTCTGACAGAGTAGCTCAGCCCGGGAGTTCTCCCAGTCCTCAGCTTGTCTGTCTTGGAAGCTGCACTACAGTAGAACCTCTCTGTGTTTGGGGTGCAGCTGGGCATCCATAACTGAAACCACATGTTCCTGGGTTCAGCTTGTCTCACTTTTCCTGCCAGGGTCTGTTAAGGTGACATAATCACTGGACCATATTAGAAAATGTCAAAAATACAGAGCTAAGTTTTTGCACGGAATGGAATTCTATCAGCTCTTTGGAGATATGGGACCAACATTTAGTTTAGAACTACACAGAGACCAAGGAAACATGTGGCTGTGCCTAAACTGCCTCTGGAATTAAAAAGGAAGGGGGCTGAAGAGGCCAAGAAGCTCAGCACACAGGATATCCAATTGGGGGTCTCAAATAAAGGCTTGGACATTGGCTGCACAGCACAGCAATACCATTGCCTGTGTGTGTGTATTTCATTTATTGAGATTACAATATAATTATACCATTTCCTTCTTCCCATTCTTCCCTCAAAACCCTCTCATATACCCCTGCTTGCTCTCTTTCAAATTTAAGGCCTCTTTTTTTCATTAATTGTCATTGCATATAAATGAGTAAGTGTATTCCTAAAGACATAAATACAAGCTGTTCATTCTGTATGATGTTACTTTTATGTGTGTTTTCAAGGATGATCACCAGTTGATGTGCTCTTCCCTGAGTTATTGCTTGAAGGTCTAAAGTTTCAGTTTTACAAGAGGAAGCATGAAGCAGTTGTGATGTTGTGATGGCTAGTTTTAATTGACAACTTGACAGACACACTGTAGAGTTACTGGGAGAGTCTCAGTGGTGGTTTTCATTGGGTTGGGCTATGGTATTTTCCCACAGGGTTTAGTGGGTTAACTGATGTAGGAAGTCCCAGCACACTGTGAGCATCATCCCCTGAGTATGAGTCCTGAAACATACAGAATTGAGAAAGCACACTAAGCACGAGAGGCATGCACACATTCATTCCTCTCTCTGTTCTTGACTGCTGATGTGACGAGCTGCATCAAGTTCTTGTCTTGGCTTCCTCACAGTGATGAATTGTGGCCTGTGAGCCAAACAAACCCTTTCTCCATCAGTTGCTTAGGGTGAGGGTGTTTAATCAGGGTGGCAGCCATGGGTGAACAATGAATGAATGAATTTATTGTACTGAACTGTATAGCACTGAGAAATGGTTAATAGAGTAAGCTTTGTGTTGTGTTTAATTGGCCGTGATGGAGTTTGTTTGTTTTGATTTTTTTTCCCTAGGTGAGATGACAAGGAGAGAAATTGTAAATTTGATTCTATAGGTTTTTTGCTTTTGCTTTTGTTTTTTAAAGCAACGTCACTTGGAGGACAATTACCAGGTA